CCGCGTCATACTAGGGATCGCCGAAGCTACATGCGAGATCCAACAATTGTGGGTCATCGTCCCCAAATAGGCTAACCCGAGAATCATTCACACTAAAAACTTAAGATCTCCCTCAAGACTCAACCAAATCTCCTCATGTGTGATCCTATGGACTCGTCTAAGTGAGACGAACACATCCATACGGTAAACATGCCATTAAATCAACTCTAATCAAATGGAGAATGAAAATAGGCTTAGGAAGAGGGAGAGTTCAATACCTTTGCTCTAAAATGGGCACCTTCAATCAGAGGTGCTCGTCATCTTCGTGGAGGTGCAAGGAGGGTAGGGATTGAGCCTCTGGTCTTGGTGAAAGCTCTAAACCCAAATTCAATCATGGCCGAATTTGGGTGTTGATCAAAGTCTAGTGTAGAGGCTCTTTGTGAGGGGGGTTTGATGGGGCTTTGTCTTCTTTCACTGTGGTGAAGGTGTGGGTGAGTTTAATTTGATTTTTTTTGCACTGTGGAGGTGTGGAGAGTTCTGTTGACCCCTTAGCCACTTTTCTTCAGCAAGGATTTGAGCTCAAAAATTGAACTCCGGCAAAGGGAATTTGGGCAAGAAAGTGGTTGGTTTGCACTGAGGAGGTCTAAAAGAGGCTATGGGAGCAATTTAGAGGGGTCTCCTTGAGAAAATTTCAGCACCTCTCTCTTCGTGGTGAAGGGGGCATTTTATAGCCATGGACGGAGAGGAGAGCTCAGGGTCTGGTCATGGGTGCAAATATTTGCCTAAGTGGTGGGCTAAAAAGCTTTAAGGTTTGATTTTGGTGAGCTGGCCCCTAGGGTTAAGATTGGGTTTGATTCAAGGGTGGTGGCTCTCAGTTTGGCCATTTTCGGGCGAGCAAGGTGGCTGGTCGGCCAGGGAGTGGTCACCTCTTGGCTCAGGAAGGTCAGGGGGTGGCTAATGATGGTTAACTCCCTATGACAATCAATGATGGAGGAGATTTTGCAGTTAAGGCCTAAAAAATGGAATGAATCCCTTAATTTGGGGATCCATTGGTCCATAGCATGCTTTGGTAGATTTAGGGTGGTTTAGCCTGGTTCTTAGGAGGAGCTTAATGGCTGTGGAGTCATGAAGTTGGTGGCTTTAAGGTAGCTAGGCCAATTTTGGTGCATGGGTTCATGTGGGTCAAAATCGCTAGATGTTGGGTTTAGGTTAGGCTAGCTATGTCAATTAGCCAAAATTATTGATCAAATTTGTGTAGATGATTGTAATGAAGGTTTTTGTAGAAGTATTGAAATGATTTTAAGTTCAATTTGAAGGATTTTGCAATTTTGGTCACTTTGGGCATGTTGGCCTAGACTTGGGTCTACATTGGGCTAAGTCCAAATTAATTCCAAATTGATTGTTGAGAATGGTCAATAGGAATGTCAGAATATCATGAAGAGTTTTTAATATAAATTGGGTGCCAATTTTGGGGCTAAGATAATCAATTTGGTGGAATTTTGAGGTATGGCCAATTTGGGGCAAAATTGGGGTTTTTAGACTTAGGTCAAAATTAAATGAAATTGAGGCTTCACCAAGGCCAATTGAAGGTCAATTTTTATGTGTAAGATTTTTATGAAGATTTTTCAACACAAATTGTAGTAAATTGAGTAGGCTATGAGGTTCAATTTGGTGAGATTAAGTCATGTAGCCAAAATTGGGGGTTTGACTTAGATCAAAATTGGGCTCAAAACATGGGCCAATTGAGCTTGGATTTGGTTTAAATTGATCGTATGGAAGGTTAATTTGAGTTTATTATTGAAATTGGGGGGAAATTGGGACCAAATTGATGGATATTTGATGTAGATTTTGGAAAATTGAGTCTTTAAAGGCAATTTTGGGGTTTGGTTAAAATGATCAAATTGGTCAAATTGAAGGGTCCAAATTGGTTTTGAAGACATTTGAAGTGATTTTGGAAGCTTTGGGAGAGTTTTGGGTGCCATGGGTGTTTTTGTAATTTTACAAATTTTGGGGGTATTTTAGTAAATTTGAATTTTTTTGGCAATTTTGGGTAATTTGGGTATCTTCAAAAGGTTTGAAATGATTTTTGAACAATTTTTTTTGTATTTTGGGTGAATTTGGGAATTTTGGCGAAATTTAGGGTCCCAAGCTTATTTAGGTAATTTGAGGGCCAACATAATCCCTATTGGGGTCCTCTATGTACTGGTCTTAGCTAAACCCTAGCCTAGGGCTAATGGGTTTAGGGGACCATCTACATGAGTCTCCCAAAAGATCAAATGGTCAAAGTCAACAAGTTTGAAATTTAGGATTGTGAGTGAATATAGGTGATAGTGAGTGACAGTGAGTGCAAGTGGGTGCATGTGAGTGAACAAATACCCAAATCAAACCCTAAGGTCAAACAGTCCTATAAGGACTCATCTTGAGCTCCCGCATACTGACCCCGCCTACTAAGTGCTAGAAGTTTGCTGGAGGTTAGAACCAATATGTAGACTTAAAGTTAAGCAAAGAGGAGTGTATAATTTCTAACGGTGAGAGTTCCTTTTCTAGTTTTCTAGATATAATCAACATAAAAGTCCTATGGCTAGACCTTATGCTACTAAAGAGGAAAACTAAACCTCAACCAAAAGTGAGGTCAACAGCTAGTAAATAATTAAGACATGATCGATATCATTAGACTACACCAAATTTTAAACATGAGCATGGCCCTCATAAATGCTAAATGAAATTTGATGAAACAATGAAAACCTAAATCAACGAATTTAACCTATAAAGCCCCACTTTATTATAGAAATATTCTTAGCCTGGCATGATTTCACAAAGCAAACATTTCCGACGCTCCCATGAAACGTGGGCAGAAGTATAAATTAAGATGAGGCAAATCTCTTACAATTAATATTTTATTAAAGGAATAGAATGTCTACCCTCACATTAATAAAATTTCTTTTTTTTCTAAAATTCAAATCCAAATATTTAAAATAAAATAATAATAAATTCAAGTGAAATAACTAAATTATTGAAAATTATATTAAAAAAAAAATCATTGAGAATCAAAGTTGATAGTTCGGTTTTGTTCTACTTTGATATTATTTGTATAGATATATATCACTAGAAACATACATAATAATCATCCCTATCTTTATATTGAAAGCAATATTATTACTGTATTAACTAACTTAGATCTTTAGAAATATTTTTCTAATATGACAGATGACCTAATTTTTTTTGTATGCGTATTAGTGGTTTGAGATTTCTTCTCACTTTGAGGATGAATCCCATCAAAATATCATTAACATTCTAGGAATGAAAGTTAAAACCGGCAATAAAAATTGACGGTGATATGTGTATTGATTCTCCTCTTTATTTAAGTGATGATTTTTTCGACGGACTTTAAAACTGATGGTTTTCCGACGACAATGACCGTGTGTATTAGCCGTCGAAAATGTCGTTGGACGAATGATTTCCGACAAGCGAAATACTAACCCGGTTTTACCGTAATTTTGTTTACGGTAATGACCGTTGTGTATTAGCCGCCCGTAATGTCGTCAGACGAATGATTTCTGACAAAGAAAAAAAGCTATCCCCATTTTTACTATCAGATCTCTAATGGCACTTAAAGCTGTCAAAACGACTCGTTTTTCGAGAATAACTCGTGTTCGGCTTGTTCGCTAAGTAGACGAGCCGAATACATATAAATATTTGTTCGTTCGTGTTTGACACGCTTTGGCTTCAAATACTTAATGAGTAGTATTTTAAAAAAAATTAATTGAATACAAGACTACAATGATTTCAAATATTTGTTTGTTAGCTTGAAATACTTAATGAGTAGTATTTAAAAAAAAATTAATTGAATACAAGACTACAATGATTTATAATCAATTAAAAGTATTAATTAATAAAATTGAATTAAAATTATTAAATTAGATTTAAAAGGTGTTTTAATAGAAACGATAATTTTTAAATCTTGTCTCAATCCTCAACATCTTATGGTTACATGATTAAAGTTTTCAAAACGACTCTTTGTTTGTGAATAACTCATTTGTGAATAACTCATGTTCGGCTCTCTAAGCAAACAGGCCGAACACGAACACATTTTTTGTGTTCGAAATATAAACGAGCCGAATACGATCTGGGCCTCGTGTTCGGCTCGTTTACACTCCTAATGGCAATGACGGTGGATATATGTTGTCAGAAATGCTGTCGTGCGAAAAATTTCCGACAAGTGAAAATAACTAAAAATAGCTTGGTATTTTTTTGATGATTTTATTTATAAAAAGAATAGCTTAAATTCTCGCAGCAATATATCTTTTTTCTCTGAGAAAAAAAAAAAGAAAAAACTTAACTGACATCAATTTTATATTTTAAAATCCACATCAATTTTTCTTATTTGGTGGATTAAATTAAGCAAGCGAGCAGGTGAGGGGGGGTGCAGCGTGGACTGCTGGGGTGACAATAGAGGACTATTTTGCAAGGCCCTGTTGGTTAGCATTGGCCGCACGTCTCCTTATTAAACAGGTAAGGAGTATTTAAATAAAACTGCTGCAAATTGCTTAAATTATGATATAGTATTCCTATGTATTTACATATCTAACCAAAAACTGCTGCAAATTGCTTAAATTATTATATAGTATTCCTATGTATTTACATATCTAACCAAAAAAATTTTAATTTTATATTTCATCTTTTAAAAATCAAAATAATAATATTTTTAATGTGATGTAAGAAATTGTGTAAATTTTAGTGGTTAAATATGTAAATACAAAGAAATTGGGTGGTATGGTTGAATTTAGTTCTAATTGAAATGTGCTTGTCGATTAACAGTAGATTTCAATCCCCCTATTTTTTTATTTTTTTCTGTCAACTTCATAATTTAAATAAAAGTTATTCATTCTTAATTAAAATGGTATTTAAAAATAAATAAGAATTTGCAAAAATAAGTAAAATAATTAGATATTTGAACAAAATTTTACCCAAATCTGCTGGAGCCAAAATTTAGCATTTAAGTAGAGGTTCATTCCGTCCCAGCATTCTTTTCCTTAACGGCTTCTCTCTCTTGAAAGAACAAAAAGGTTTGCTCTTCCAATTTCCTCAAACAGAGCTTCCCCATCTCTCCTTTCTTCTCTCTCTCTCCATCTCCCAATATCTTCATCATCATCTTCTTCTTCTTCTTCTTCTTCTTCTCCTACTCCTCCTCCTCCAGCTTTGAAATACTATAACTCCTTTTCTAATGGTAGGTTTTCAAATTAATCCATGGTCTTATACCAAACCTGAAGTTCTAATCTTTTGTTGTTTTAAGCTATTTCCAGGAACCAAAAATGGTGTTTTTTACGAAGAACTTCTAAATCTCTTCGCTTTTCACCAGCACAATGGAGCAAGGAAAAGGAATTGTTTTCTGCAACACAGAGCAGGAATACCAGACGGATTTACCTCCAGGTTTCCGCTTTCATCCCACAGACGAAGAACTAATCACTCACTATCTCTCCATAAAGGTTCTGGACACCAACTTCGATCCAAGAGCCATTGGTGTGGTCGATCTGAACAAGTGCGAGCCATGGGAGCTCCCCAGTAAGCTCTCTTCACCATCAATCTCCCCTGTTCTTTCTCCTCTCTTCTCAATCTGTTTTGCTCTGTTTGCAGAGAGAGCCAAGCTTGGAGAAAAGGAATGGTATTTCTTCTGCATAAGAGACCGAAAGTATCCCACCGGTCTGAGAACAAATCGAGCCACTGATAGTGGTTACTGGAAGGCAACGGGAAAGGATAAGGAGATTTATAAGGGGAAGATGATCGTCGGAATGAAGAAGACGCTGGTTTTTTATAGAGGTAGAGCTCCAAGAGGAGAAAAGAGTAATTGGGTGATGCATGAGTTCAGATTGGAAGGGAAACATTCAGCTTATAGTTTACCTGGAGCTACAAAGGTACTCTTTTTCCCCTTCTGTTCTATCATTTCGGAAACATATTATGATCAAAAACTGATTTTTAGATGTTTTTGAATAGAACGAGTGGGTAATCTGCAGAGTTATGAAAAAAAGCTTGGTTGGGAATGGGAAGAAGGCTTTTGCAGTAACAGGAAAAACTGGTTCTTTTTCTCATGGAGAAGAGATGGAGATGGGACGTCTTGCTCCTACTCCGACTCCAACTCCGCCGCCATTAATGGACATGCAAGCTCACGTGACCTGCTTCTCCAACGCCATGGAGGGTCAAAAGATTCAAGACCCTGAGCTCTTCCGCTTCTTCAACCCTTCCTTTCATGCTAACTCTTCTGCAGATATGTCTTCCATCTTCTTCTCCAATTTCTCTGGTAACGGATTCATGAACTTGCTCGAAGGTGATCTAATCGCGAAGCAGGGATGCAAGATGGAGAGGGAGATGCTAAGCATCTCTCAGGAAACCGGTCTTACCAGCGATATAAACCCAGAGATCTCCTCAGGTAATGAAATTGGGAGGAGTAACTATGGAGAGTGCCTCTGGAATTATGAGAACTAATTCTCCCTGAATCTGAATATTGAAAAATCAATTAATAGATTGTATTTCTGGATTGTGTATAAGTAGCATTTGTGTATGTTTGTCCTCTCTGGATTCATAATATAGCAGTAGAGACATGATTGTTCTGTTTGAGAAAAAAAAAAAAAAAAACTCTACTTTTAATGTTTGATTGAATATACTGAATTGAAGTATTTACTTGTCTAACAGCTAAATTTTAGTTTTTACAGTTCTGCCAATCAAATCTTTCATATCATATAAAAAATACCACCATTTTAACTTCTACAAAGAGAAATTTAGTTGTTAGATATGTAAAAACATAAGAACTGAGTGGTGGGTATGTCTGTAAATCTTCCATTTTTGGGGGGCTTTTAATGAGAGTATATGAGTTTATGCAAAAAGTGTAGACTCTGATAGGCCAGCCACAACACAGACTGGTGGGACTCTCAATGATATTGAGAGTGATATAAATAATAGTCTGTGTAAGATAATAAGAGGATTGAAATATAAAATTTTAATGTAGAAAAATGTGAAAAGTCATTCTAAACAAAATTTGAAAAGGATATAATTATAATATATTTAATTAATTGCACTTTTTATATGGAGAATGTCAATTTGGTGCCTAACAATGGAACTACTACATGAAATATTTATTTGTCAGAGGAATCAAGTAGGTCACCTGCCCAGAATTTTCTCTTATTTTTCAAATTATTGAGGGACAGGTGTTTCAATCTGCCCTCTCCTTTGTGTTAACCGTTTCGATATGTGACTCATCTTCTTCCTCTTTTTTCTTCAGAGCTGAACCTATTGAAGTAAAGGAGAAGAAATTTCTTCTTTTTCTTTTTTCTTTTCTATGGGCCTCGTTTTAGTAGTGAGAGAGAGAGAGAGAGAGAGAGAGCACTAAGGAAAGCTATTAATATGAATGAAGTTTTACATACATGCCTCATAATATCAATGTATTTAGGTATCTAACATCTAACATCTAAAATTATTTTTATATATATATATATACTTTGGACTCGTAAAGTTATACATGAAAATATATATTTCATTTTTTAGAAGTTTATGATAGTGATAAGGTATGTGTGGTAATGTAAACTTGATTGATATGATTATTGTGAATTTTGTGTTTATTTTTGATATAATTTTGAGGTAATTAGAAATGTAAGGGGAATAGATAATATTAAATTATTATTATAACTCCCATCTCTTTATAATAAGAAAAAATATAAAAATTTGTATCATTAAAATAATGAAGAAATATATTTTTTTTTTCTGATTCTTTCTCAATCAAATAAATTAGTGCAAATTATTTAAGTTATTTTTTTTCTTTTTTTTCTTTTTATTTTCTTTGCATTTACATTCTTGTAATGTTAACATATCAAACGGCACTAGAGAGATCTTTTTATTTTCTTTTCATTTACATTTTTGTAATGTTAACATATCAAACGGCACTAGAGAGATCAATGATAAAAAGGTCTGTGATTCTCCAAAAAGCTATGCTGATCTAAGGGAGTTGATGAAGAGAAAATGTGAAGGAGAGGGCTCTATTTTGTTTGAAGGAAGACAAGGAAATATAAATTTAAATTATTTTGAAACTTTATATTAGGTTTTGGTTGTAAGATAGTTTATGAGTGAATGAATTTATATAGAAAAAAATATGAATAAATTCATTTTTTTTTTATTAATAATCATGTATACTCAAATATATAGTGTGGGGTAAAGTAAACAAGACCAAGCAAACTCTCTTTTAATCAAGTTACGTGGTTCTCAATATCACTCACTTATATGTAAAGAGCACCCACCTAGCCATGGAGTGTACTTGCCCGACTAAATATTTAACTTTGTTGAGATGACATGGGTGATGTAAATATGGATTGGACATCACTACAAATAGATTTTAATGAGACATTCTTTCAAGTAGAGTAACCATAGATTGATGCAAAAAACTAGAAATTAGGCACTACATGATGCAGAGCAGATTAACAAGAAATGTGATTGAACATGGAAAAATTAGGATTTCGTGACTAATGAATAACTTATACATAAGAAGGAGATATTCCCAAGAATTAGAGCAGTTGTGAAGGCAGAGATATTGGAAGGTGATTGAGATTAAATAATAGAAAGGTGGTCGTTAAGCACAAAAACAATATTAAGGTGATTGAGATTAAATTATATGAAGGTGGTCATTAAGCACAAAAAGCAACATCCCTCACATCCACTGTGAACAAGGCTTACTATTTTAATAGTGATAAAGAGTACTCCACCATCCACCTAAGCGAGCTGAAAGACGAAGATTCCAACTAACAAACAAGTTCTCTAAGGATATTGAAGAAACCAATCCTCTAATAAAAATCAAGATGTCACACATAGAATCATACAATAAAGTATGGACTCGATCGATTAT